CGAGAGTCCGATGTATTTTACTTTGCCTTCTTTAACAAGTTCCGCCATAGCAGCAACAGTTTCTTCGATCGGACTTTATAAGATAAAGTTTAATTCTTATTCATAATATCTCATTTCAAAGTCAAAAAAAAAAAAAAAAACAAAATTTATATACGCTTACGTCTTGGGAAGCATACGATGCAGATAATAAAGATCGATCTGACTAATTCCCAACCTTTTCAAGGAATTTTCACAACTTTGGCGAACGTACTCGCGATCTCCTCTTAGTTCTACAAATTCTCCTTCATCGCCTCGAACAATTCCAAATTTCGTACAAAGAAATACTTCATCACGGCGTTCTTTTAAAACTTTTGATAAAAGGATCTCATTGGCTCCGTTTCTTCCATAGATATCCTAAAAAGCATAATGTATACAAATTTACAATAAGCATGAAAGGAATGACCTATCTTCATAGTTTGATTGCTTGACATATTTACCGCAGTATCCCAAAAGTTACATCCTAACTCGAGTGATCTTTTTAATACTTGAATGCTTTCATTCTCGTCAGCGGGTCCATAAAATTCACTCAATCCCTTTTTTTTAATTTCGAACAAAACAAAGAAATTATTTCGCGAGACTCTTAATAAATCTTACAATATATAGTCACGTCTTATACCATGCATCCAAAGCCAACAATTGGGATCTTGACACCGGTTTTATCCAATTCGCGGGTTGGAAGAGACATTTTAACTTTATTCCACTCGTTTGATGTGAAAACTTTTTTGAAAAGGCTCGTACTGTACAGTATTTAAATATGTTTTCGATTTTAACTTCGTAATCGCTCGTAAAGTTTTCTTTGAAGATCATCTCCTTTTGGTACTTTATACTCCATTATCGTGTCGCTTGCCGATCAAATAAATGACCTGCATTTAGTATAACATTTCCTTAAACAACATCTTTTGTGTACCTTAATATTAAAGATTAAATCCAACTATTTTCAAATATTATTTTGTTTTAATGACTTTACCTTTTCTGTTCATTTTCTTATGATTCCCTTAATGATGAATGAGGATAAAAAGCTTTCCAGCTTATCTTGTTTTAGTATTAGAAAACCATACAAAATCATCATTATTATGTAGAAAGGTTAACGAAAAAGTGACGGTTTAATTAAGCATTTTTTTTTTTGATTATTAACGTTGAATGATTGGTACAACCTCCAAGTGTGCATGTCATCTGGCGTAAGTCTTATGAAGTGAACGATGTAAATTGAGATCGATACCATAGTAAATTAACAGGATTTTTTCCTGAAATGTCAATCAAGATCTAAGGTTGGAACAATATTAAGATCAAATTTTATCTTTAAATCGAGAACATCGAAATTTAATAAGTTTTGGTGCCTTTTCCGTGTGTTCCATCACCATAAAAATATTTAATATATCGATAAAATCATTAAAAATATATTTTTAAGCAATAATGTTTTAAAGATTTATTATATGCTTTTTGACAAAATGGAGAATATGGCGTTGTTTATAGTAGTTGCGGGACAAAACTCATTTAGCAATTGACAATAGTCGAAACCCTATGTTCGATTTCTACTTTCGTGGAGAATTTTTAATGCTTGGAATCGGACGTATATTAACCGGTTTAATAACGGTTAATATTATCTAATTGTTACAGTAACAGAACTTGGCAGGTTTTTGCATTAATATCAAGGAATTTCTTAGCAATAATACTATTATGCTTAGGGTCATTGTCCTGTCGCAGCAGCCATCTGCCTCATAAAATACAGCGCAGCACTTCCGAAAGTGGCTTTTCTAATATTTCGGTGTAAATTTCCATCCATTATACAGTACTTCTATTGGATTAGTTATAATTGTTGATCTTTTTTCGAAAAAAAATTGTCATTTTTTTTTTGCATACCACTATTTATGTAATTAATCACTCAAAAATGTGGATATTTCACTGTTCAATTATATTTTTTCATAGGAAAGTAATCAGAAAGTTCTACTATTATTGTCAAAGAATAAGTATTGTTTTTAAATAAATTTCGACAAGTGCCGCAGTTCCTTTTTTTTTACCGATAGAAAAAGTAAAAATTAAATTGCCGTGACGCCAAATATCGTTTCTCCTTCATCTTAGACAGAATCGCGGTTTAGGAAGGACCCATGTCTCGCGATTAATTTATTAGTTTTTCAAATTGTATAATATGGCAAAGTATGGTCAAGTAAGTGTAGCTTGCTTAAAGAGGAACTTCCCTAAAAGGGGGTCGTCTAAAGCGGAGTAGTATCACGTGAAAATAAAGCGTACGATGATTGGTTAGAGGTAATGGCAAAT